CATACATACATACATACATACATCCATACATACACACATATATATATCTGTCTAGCTAGCTATGATTGCAAGGGGAAGAGGAGGGTCACCCAAACAGCTCATGCTTGTTCCTCAGCTAGCCCAGATTTCCAAAAAGTTGCCAAGAAGAAAAGGAGAAGCAAAGAGCCCAACAGAAATCACCGGGTTGGCCCAGCCTTGTCTTTTTGAGAGAGAGACACACACACAGATACACACACAGAGAGAGGGGGGGGAGACCGGCTGATGAGTGAGCGTCGTTGGTGAGAGTGCTCCAGCTTTCTCTGAGCCTGACCCCCCAGGGTGGGTAAGTGAGGTTTGGTGGGGCCAGTCTCCTTTTCCTACTGATCTGAGCTTTACTCGTCCAGCAGAGTATACCCACCGCCTTTCATTAAAAAGCATCCTCCAGGTGGCAAAAATTTTAAAGCTGTGGCTGGGCACTGCAGGCCTGTCTCCCTTTCCATCATCCCCTCCTACCGGATCCCATTCCCACCCCGTGAGCCATCATGTTAGCGAAACCCCCATTCAGTCCTGGCTGGGTCAGGCCAGTATCTTGGGGCGAAGAGCATGTTGCATGTCCAAATGACCAAGGCACGCCCAGCACCAATAAGGGCTGGAAGAAGCTCCAGCAAGAGCGAGGTGGGGGGAAATCAGCCCCAGCTGCTTCTCCATCCCATGCCCTTACTTTCTCAGGCCAGGCAAGCAGTGACTGATAGGGAAGGCAAGGCTAGCCAGTGGTGGGAACATGAAGCGACAGCAGAGGGTCCCAAGAGTCGCACATGGCTCCAGAGCTGCAGGTTGCAATCTTTTGGGCACCAAATACTGATTCCTTGGATAGAGGTTTTTCCATGGATCAGAGGGGGCGTGCTTTCCTGTGTTGCATGCATTCAGTGGATGGTGCTTTGCTTGTTTGTCTGGCCCTGTTTCTGGCATGTCATGGACCTGTACCGATCCATGAACCAGAGGTTGGGCACCCTGTTCTAGACAGCATTTGGGACTTCAGTGCTGTAGAGAACTGGGATTACAGACTTTTTCCAGAAATAATATATATTATTTTAATTATTTTATGCAGTATTACTATTACTGTATTGGCTATGGGTTGGCTGCTTCCATAAAGGATAAAACTGACTACAGTAGTTTACAAATGTACAAATTAAATAAAAGTCAATAAATTAAACTACACATTCAGAAGATCTGGCTACATCCTTACATGAACAACTAACCATTCTCCATATTTGATTTTCACTATGCTTCTTTGGAGCTTCAATCCCAAGGCAGCAACCCCCCCCCCCAATAATAATAATGATCTTATTGGCTAATATTTTAAGTGTTCCCAATTCCAAAAAAATTCTGACCATCATGTACTGTATTGAGCTATATTATGACAGGACTTTTAGTCACCGAGATTTCAAATCTTTTTTTTTCTTTTTCATTCCTTGCTATCTCTTTCCCATTAAAGCATATTTGAAAAAGAAAAAAGAAGAGGCTATCTAATACGAAGATAGGACAAGGATAATAAGCATCAAGATTAACTCACTACAAGCAACATTAACTCTGAAAAAACGGTTGGTTCAATTCAACTACAGAATATTTTCAAAAATTGTTTCTAATCCTATCTTGCTTACTTAAAAAATCCACAAAAAGCAAAGCAATTTTCATACTTAGTTTTAAATAGGTTTAAATTGAATTCAATTTCAAATGTTATTTTAAAAATGTCTGAATTACCACCAGATGTCACTGTAGAAAATATTTATAAAAGTAATAGTGATGAAACAATATGAAAAGCAAGTAAGCCAAGTAGTAACAGAAATCTGTATCCTGAACATATTTTCATTTCTGTTCTTCATGCAAAAATGATCCAATTATATTAGAGAAAAAACTGCTAATTGCCTTGAATCATGCAAAGCCAAGTTATTAATGCAGGTCAAATTGTCATTAATGTAATACAACCAATTCAAAATAATACTTGCATATTTTAATCCCTCTACTATAGATTGCAAAACAGAAAAGCCTTTACAACCTACATACAATATAGATGTATTATCACTGATATAATATTACACTGTCAGATTTATTTCTCCTTTAGAAATTCTACAAGAGAGGACTTAGAAAAAAGAAGAGCATTTCAGAGATAATTGAAGCTAGCAGGTATTGTCTGAATGAACTTGAGGGAACTGTGTTACAATGTCCATCAGCAGACCAGTGAAAAAATTATCATCTCTTTGATGTACAAAATATTTCCAGACAATCAGTCCAGTCAATTTGCAATTTTTATTCATTTCTTGTAATTAATTTCTCTCTGCATAATGGAGAAAGTAATGTGGCATAGGAGATCTTAACTGACAGGAAGAATGTTCTATATGCATGCCAGAACATCTCTTGAACTTCCCTTTGATCAGAAAGAGTATGGTAGCAACTAATTTTCCAGCTAATATTATTAAAAGAAATAAGCATACATAAACTTAGTTGGAAAAGGTGGTACCAGACTCCTCCAGGTTTTTTTTTTCTTTGTCCCAGTTCTTTTAGTGTTTACAATTTGATCTTATCAGTGATTCCGGCTTTATTCTGAGAAAGCCAAATCATGTTGTAACCCAGCCAATCCAGTTGAATCTTGAACAGAAACGAAAGATGACTCACCTCTAGCAACAGATCCTGCCAATTATGTACTAACAAATAGCAACAGCCATGATGTTATTTTATAGAGTGGGAAATATACAGCTGGAAAGATCCACATGTTCAGCCTTATCCAAACATTTCTAATATTCACACCTATATATGATAGCAAGTTGCAACGGTACCTCAAATTTATAGTGGAGCTTAAACGTTTGTGAACCCTTTTCAATATTTCTGCATGTACATGACCAACTATGTGAGATGTTCTCCGGACAATTCTTAAAACCTGATAAATAGAATCCAATTAATTGGAACATTATACCTGTTCATTGATTTATTAAGGAACATAATTCAACCCTTAATACTGACTTGGAATCTCACTATATAGGCAGCACTAATTCATATCATTTCATGATTTTATTTTAGTCCAAAATAAATTTATTATTTAGAGCAAGCTTAATCTGAAGGCAAGTTTCATCTGAAGGCTTACATACAGTAAGTATACATTGGGAACGCAAATAAAGGCCTTGTCAGTTAAAGGAGAAGATGGAAGAAATGATGGATAGAATGTGAGAAAATACACAAGAGATCAAAGAGTTACAGCTTAGCTGGCTCAGAAAGCTGTTGATCCTATAATTGCATCTTAAAATGGAAGATTCCCATGATGTCTAGCACAAGCAGAGAATTCTGGGAATCCTTTTTAATGATACCTTGCTTCTGAGTTATATGACTGTTGTCATATGATACTTCAGAAAGGAATTTAGTATTAAATGCTAAGTTAATAATTATTTTATGTCAATTCAGGTTTGTCTCCTACTGACTGCATAGACAAATGCTCAGAATTTTACTGAATTCACTCTAGTACAATAATAATTTTTAACTCTTGCAAGGACGTGCCAGTAATTCCATATATTCCATCTACTTTTATCAACCCATCCTTACTTCAAATGCCCAAATAATAATGGTCATTGTTTCAAAGCAGTAATACGTTTTTTACTGATTCTTTTCTGAATTATTAGTAACTGTCTCTAACTCTATCATTCTCAGGCTCGTCTGTCATACTCTACAGTTGGTTCCACTCTGTTCCAACCCCATGAAAACATGGATCCAAAATCATATTAATCATTGTTATTCCAACGTTTTTAAAGTTCAACATATTTCATTGTTTTATAACAAAGGGAGCCAGTCTACAATACAAATCCTCAGCATACCATAACTACTGTTTGTTTATAATGCGAAGATGATCATGGTAAAAAGACAAGAAAGGATGAGGAATGACAAGGTAACAAGAAATTGAATTTTAGCTGCTTGAGACAGTAGTTGATATCTGGCAATTACATTACAAAAATGGAAGATCAAAGAATATCTAGAAATGCGGAACATTCTTTTTAAATATCGGCGGAGGGACGACGCGGCAGCCAGGGTTCAAAACAACAACTGGTTTATTCTAGGATGACAGCGATTCGAACGACAGAACGCGCGCCAAAGGTATTTATACTAACTTTTAACCAATCACCGGCCGGGGACTAGACAGCAACCGCTGACGTTGATTGAACTCTCCATTTCCTGCGGTGCGGACACATTGTGGCAGTCGTCTCCTCTGCGAGTTGGCCTCGGTGGCTGGCGGCGCGGCTGCGATTTGGGTCTTTCATTGGCTTGGAAGAAGGCAGGGGCCGGCAAGGATGCTCGGCAGACGTGGGCAATGTGCCCCTGCCTCTGACAACGGCGGCAGATTGCGTTCCGGAACTGACAGGTTTGGCGGTCGTGGCGGCCTCCGCAACTAAGGCAAGACGCCTTGGGGTTTTGCGGTGCGGCCGCTGAAGGAGCCGGTTGTCTTCGCCGAGGTTGGGCACGTACTTGGCCGACGTTGTCGGGCTCCGGGTCCTCGGACGGCGTAAGGTCATCATAGTCAATGTCATGGATTTGGGAGGCCGGTGGAGTGAACGGAAC